ATCGAAGTAATTCAGGCGAGAAGCTTAATCCTTCTGCCCTCAACAGGAAAGAAGGCCTAACTATTCACTCATCCTTTACTGTTTTCCCAAACAACCACGTTTCCACACACTCAACATTTTAACTTCACTACTTCACATTACAAATTATGCATTTTTTATACCCAGCATCACAAACACAGTGACGTCTCATACAGAATCACTTTAACCAAAAGTAACATGACATTGATATAATCAGGACTGTTATGATATTAACTGTTTTAAAGTATTTTACTTAGTTTCCTCTGTACTATTCAAACTTGTATGAATTTATCTCGGTTATTTATTTACTCTTAATATGTAAGTTAAATTAGGTCACAAAATGTCAGAAGTATATTTTCTACTCATTGGGACATCGTGAAATATTTAATTGTTATTAATTTTTTACCCAACGCTCAATTTATTTTAAACTGTAAAGTTCAACCCTGGCATTGATATCTAATGTTGAGTTAATGTTTATTATTCAGTGTTACACAAAAGATTAGTTTACAGAAACCAATCAATATTAAAAGACAGAAATATTTATGAAGACTAGAAACTTGCAAATATGACATCAGATAGGATAATTAGTTGCGAGATTATATATACCCGATTGACAGATAATTTCCATTTAAACATTAAAAATCGAAAACACGAAGTTCAGCAAAAGGATCTCTTTTCAACGAATTTATTATCAAGCTTTACAATCGTATATATATGAAAATTTTGTTAAAGTACTAATTCCGTGAGGGCCCCCAAATGCCCTGTTATGGCCGAGAGCGGGGAGGGTTCGCCCTCTCGAAATACTCTCACACGGCCACGCGTATACAGCCTCTGCCAGGGAAGTCCTACTCACTGCCTTCTTGTGGCGGGGGTGTTGTTTACGAAAATGAGAGGACGAAAAGCAAACGTCCGGCGCTATGACCGGATCCCAATTCTATGGTGCACATGGGCTCCAGTATCCTGAAAGAACAAATGGCGTATGAACCAACTTTTGGTCACCGGCTTCCATGGGACTGCATCTCCTCACGATGCTCCACTGCCTTATGGACTAGACCTCTAGGTCAAAGGTTCGGGGTGTGGCCCCCTAAGAAAACCACCTGCTTCGGTTTGGGCACCCGGGCAGTATCTCAGCCCACACACTAAAACTATGATGAACTATCTGCTTATAGAAAATATTCGTTTCTCTCCGACTAACATTGAAATGACTGGTATTATTATTATTATTATTTACTACGTCGTTTATTCATTATCTCCTATTTCTACTTTTTGTATCCGTTTCGACTCAGACAGCAGCTCGCCTATGGTGAAAATTCAGCTTTATCTAAACGTTCTCGAGTCACTGCCTGGTTGAAAATTGTATGTTACTACCGAATATGAGTACTGAAGCAGTTTTTCTGAAACCACGTGCACCATTCAAACTGGCTGCCTTCAACGTTCGCACACTTATGCAGGTCGGACAACAGATAGGGCTGGCTATGTCTTTGGAAAGTCTTAATATTGACGTGTGTTGTCTATCCAAGACCCGTATTCAAGACTCTGGTGAAGTACTACAAGTTCGCTCTCCATCTGTCGCTTCAAAAACTTGTTTTATGTGCGTTTATCCGGGGACCCTGTGGCATCTTCGTCTGGTCTTGCTGGCGTTGGTGTCGCACTAAGCGCAAGAGCTGAGGCAGCACTAGTCGACTGGATCCCCATTAACAGTCGGTTGGTTATGTGCTGTTAGATTAGAAAGTTCCATCAAAGTGAGAAGAAATCGGCGTGAGAAACGATGTCTTTTCGTCATCTCTGCCTATGCCCCGACAGATTGCAGCCCGGATGCAATCAAGGACGAGTTCTACCACCAGCTAACTGTTCTTCTCCAGAAAGTGCGTTCGACAGATATTGTAGTACTAGCTGGAGACTTGAATGCTCAGGTCGGGCGTCTAGACACAGAAGAGAGTCGTTTAGTGGCCGATGGGGACTCGTTGGTTGCAGGACAGATAACGGGGAACGTCTACTGCAACTATGCACAGACCACAACCTGTTTCTGGCTAGCACTAACTTTCTGCACAGTCATCGCCGATGTGCCACCTGGCGTCCCCCTTCTGCATCTCAAGCCTGGACTCAGATTGATCACATCGCGATCAGCTACCGCTGGCGTGGTTGTGTACAAGACTGCCGCTCCTTTTGGAGTACCTATCTGGAATCTGATCATGCTCTGGTCTGCGCCAATCTTACCTTACTTTTCAGTGGACAACGAAGTGACCGCCACCACAGGATTGATGTTAGCAAGCTGGCTGCAACTTCTGTTGCTAGTAAGTACCGAACCGAGCTAGCTTCTAGGCTAGCTACCATTCCACCGAAAAGTATAGATGAGCATTGGTTGCAATTGCATGACGCCATGAAAATGGCGGGTACAGTTTGTTGTGGGTTTGCGAAACGTCCCGCTTACAAGCACTGGGTTTCTTCTGGTTCCTTACAACTGATTGAAGCCCGTCGGTCTACTCCGGGTGACCGTGAGTTTGACCACAGACGAAGGATGTTACGTAATGAAATCGGGCAAAGCTTGCGTAAGGACCGAGAAGCCTGGTGGTCGGAGCGTGCCAGTGAGTTGGAAGCAGCAGCTGCATCTGGTAATTACCGGAAGCTCTTCCAACTCATCCGAGCCACTGGCAGCAAGAAGTTTGGTGTGAGCGAAACAATCTGCGAGGATGACAGAACGCTAATCACTAACATCCATCGAAGTCTTGGACGATGGGCAGAATTCTTTGAAGGGCAGTTCAACTGGCCTGCTGCTCCGGCAACATCGGTCAGACTGTCCTGCCCTCCATGGCCGGTGACGACTGATCCACCAAATGAGGCGGAAGTCCGCAAGGAACTCCAACTCTTGAAACGTTACAAATCACCGGGCCCAGACGACTTACCTCCGGCTCTTTTTAAAGATGGTGGTGACTTTTTGACTAAGGGACTGACGACGTTGTTTACAAAGATCTGGGAACTAGAGAGTGTACCAACGTCATGGAATAAGTCGATAGTTGTCCCTATCTTTAAAAAGGGTTCACGTTGTTCCTGTAACAACTATCGGGGGATAAGTCTACTTCCGATTGCGTCCAAGCTATTGGCTTCCGTCATACTTCGTAGGTTGTTCAGAACCCGAGAAAGATTGACTCGCGAGGAGCAGGCTGGGTTTCGTTCTGGTCGAGGATGTATTGATCATATCTTCACCCTCCGCCAAGTGTTAGAACATCGCCATACTTATCAAAGGCCAACAATCGTAGTGTTTCTTGATATCAGGGCTGCCTTCGATTCGTTGGACAGAACTGTTCTCTGGGATTGTCTATTGAAGAAGGGTGTGCCTGAGAAGTTTATTAACATCCTAAAAGCCCTATACACAAACACCTCAGGCAGAGTGAGGGCATACAACCACCTTTCTCCACTATTCCATTCGAGCAGTGGGGTTAGGCAGGGTTGCCCAATCTCACCATTCCTCTTCAACTTTGCCATCGATGACATTCTGGAAACAGCTCTGACGGATGTAAGTAATGGTGGTGTGGATCTGTTGCCTGGAGAAAGACTTCTCGACCTTGAGTATGCGGATGATATTGTCTTACTGTGCGAGAATGCCCAAGCCATGCAATCCGCACTTAATCAGTTGGCAATCAGTGTCCGTAGGTATGGTATGTGCTTTGCACCTTCGAAGTGCAAAGTTCTTCTACAAGACTGGCAGGATTCTAATCCTGTACTCACTCTGGATGGTGAGCAGATTGAAGTAGTCGAGAAGTTCGTGTATCTGGGTAGCTGCATAAGTGCTGGTGGTGGTGTGAGTGATGAGATCAATGCACGTATAGTGAAAGCCAGAGCGGCTTATGACAATCTGGGCCATCTTTGGCGCCTTCGTGATGTTAGTCTGGCTGTAGAAGGTCGGATCTACAACGCGTCGGTGAGAGCAGTTTTGCTCTATGCTTGTGAAACCTGACCTCTCCGAGTTGAGGATGTTAGACGACTCTCTGTGTTCGATCATCGTTGTCTCCGAAGGATTGCTGGCATCCAGTGGCAACACCATGTCAGTAATGCAGAGGTTCGGCATCGAGTGTTCGGTCACAGAGACGATAATGAAATTGGTGTCACCATCTTGAAACACCGACTTCGGTGGCTTGGACATGTTCTACGAATGTCGTCCCAGAGAATTCCTCATCGTGCATTATTTGCCGACTCTGGGACTGGTTGGAAAAAGCGGAGAGGTGGTCAGTATATGACATGGTGTCGTGGTATGAAAGAAAGCTGCAAAGGGCTAGCTTCTGTTGGTCCTTCACGACTCCCTGGTTGGGGTCCGAGAGACGGTGTAACGCAGTGGCTAGAGACGTTATCAGATATGGCTCAGAATAGAAGCCAGTGGCGATCGTGCTGTAACCTTCTTTTACTTTCTTCATAAAAAGTGGTTGTATCTTCCTTAACTGAAAGATCTCTTCTGATTGTACCTTTTCGTTTCCCCCACCATTGTTCTCTCTCTCTCCCTTTTTTTTAAAATTCCCCACGTTCATTACTTTTTTTTCTCTTTTCTCCTTCTCTTCAAATTATCATTGTTTTGTGTGGCGCATATATATTTGGTGCCCCCCTGTACCAATATTTATGTGTTCAAATAAATAAATAAATTCCGTGAGGAAACGTGAACACGAATAAGCAAGCTGACGTAATAGAAAGATTATGATACTAGATTACGTAATACGAATAATAATAAGAGATTTAGTGAATATAATAAGATGATTGAAATGATCAAAACTTTCATATTTATGTACGATTGTACAGCTTGATAATAAATTCGTTGAAAAGAGATCCTTTCGCTGAACTTCGTGTTTTCAATTTATATTCAACCTTTATTCAAACCTTCTTGTTTGTTGTTGACACACGCCAATGCATTTTCCACCTACGTTGCGCTAGTTAAATGTAGCAGTTGTGCATAATAATGTTTCTTATAACCAGAGGGTATCAATCCTTATTTCCAGGGTGGGTACTTATTGACCGTAGTGGCAAACATTTTGGGACGATCTTGAACTATATTCGAGATGGTTCAGCCCCTCTTCCAGAAAATAGGAAAGAGTTAGAAGAACTAGCTATGGAAGCCAAATATTTCTGCGTTAAAGGTTTATGTTTAGCATGTGAAGAGGCGCTTGGTCGCTTGACAAATTACGACGACCTTCAAAATCGTGCAACCATTATTATCGTCAAATGTCCTAATGCAGCAAAATCCTTGCTTTCTACTACCCGTAAGGTAAGTATAGGTTATTCGGGTAACTCCTTTAAATATGTTGTTATTCTATGCGTATGAACGGCAATATTGTTAACATGCTATGAAATTCACTATAAACTCGAACTGGTTTACGAGGATATATGCCATACAGCCTTTTACTGTTTGTTATTTGTTTAAATAGTAATTGTTTTGCCAACAAACGAAGAGCTGTTTATTTCGAAGCTGGTAATCGGGAATGTATCGGTTCTGTCTTCACTCCTTGGTTGCAGACGCAACACACCTCTTTTCATCATATTTTCTGGCATTGTGACAATGCATATTCTTGAAGCTTCTAGTCTGGATATCAAGATACTAAGGGCCGTGTACTCAAGGACTTACAGTTGTATAAGAAGAATGATCTCGAGTTTCATCTAGGGATGCTTTAGGACTCAAGTACTCTCTTTTATAGAACAGATATAACTCAGTCCAGTACACGATCATGTACGTAGTTATTCAAATGCACTATTTGGTACTGATACGACCTGACGACATTCATTGGCATTCGGGAATGACTTGTTAAATGTTTGTATTCAACTTAGTCGCTGATGAAGGTAGTGGATTTTAGCTTTTCCTGGATTACTCGTTTGCTCACAAACACTGGTTGACTTAAATTTCATCAATGTGGTTAAAGGATGATAAGGTGTACAATCTTTTTTAGGAATCAAGTTCTTACCTAGGAGTGTTCTATATTTTAAAATCTATTTATAGAGTGATTCAGTCAGACAGTGTTAGTGTGTCATAGTATCTCACGTGTGAAATTTCCCAGACTCCACTCACTTTTTTAATGGAGACTATTCAGCTAATCGTATTGATGATAACTTTCCATCTACGTCCAAAAAATCTCGAGCTCGAAGTTATTGATCTCGTTATTCATTTATATCTTTTAATTTCACACAATCATATGCTTTTGAGATGGTGGAGATTTGTAGCTCAGGTGGATGATCTTGGTGAAGTTTCGTTCTCCGAGCTGGATGGTTTGGTTGTGGAGCTTTCATTATTCTTCTGAACAACATCAGCAGAAGTGGCGTATTCGCATTTCTCCACATGTCTCACCTTGTCTTGCCGAACATCAATTAGTGATCGGACCCCATGACATATATTCGCTTATATCAATACATGTAAACACATATTTGACTGGAAAAGTGTTGCAATCTTGGATAAATACTAAAAACACCAAGGAACTTTCAGAAGCGTGGCACTCAGGTCAGTCAGCAATCAACAAACACATCGAAATTGATCCAATCTATAAACCGATCAGAAAAATCATGGGTAAATATAGGATCAAGAATCAGATCAAAGAGAGATACAATCAAAAATAAAGAGATAAATAATGATGGGTAAAGGGTCAAGATCGAGGTTGACAGGACAAGTTGAGAGCCATATGTAAAGAAATGCGGATTCTCTACCTCTACATGAAGTTTGTGATGCGGATGTTGTTCAGACGAACAATGAAGACTTCACGAGCAAACCACCTAGCTCATATAACGAAAATTCCAGTGATAGTACACAATTTATTTCTGGGGAGATGTTTTGATGTACGAGATAATAAAAACCTGTGTTCTTATTCATATACAGATGCTGAATTATTGTAACTGCTAAAACCTTTTTTTTTGAATATAGTATATTTTTAAAACTAAAGTATTAGCTTAATAATATGACATACGAAACTATTACGGCCAAACCTTTGCCTCTTTATAAGTCAATGATTATCCTACTTATAGTTTTTCGACAAAATAAGAATATATGCTATTTGCTAATTTCCAGATTAGTATTTCTTTTTTTTCTTCTTTCTAGCCTGTTGTTAAACTTACAATGAACCGGTATAATAATGTATTTTCATACACAAGGTAAGTCCTAATACAAAAGGTTTTGCGCGATGATTTCGTTATTGTTATTGATAAACTTACACTTGTCTACTGACAGTTTTCGTTATATCCAGCCGTATAGTTAGCACCAGTTATCTGTAAAAACTGTTTCACATTAACAAATACCATTTTTATCATTGTGATCTTAATGTCCACTATAATGTATTCATATAATTAGTGTAATAATAGAGAAACGTGTAATTTCATGTAAGTCTGTTTTCAGCTTAGGAACCGGATAGATGATAGTTTTTGTCTTTACGGAAAATAACCAAGTATATCCCAGCCCGACAAAGTGAGTGTGGACACTGGTATACAAGCAAAGGACTATCATATTTAAATTAGTCTGATTTTTCTGGAGCAACAAATTTAGTGCATAATTCCTAAGGTAGCCAACAAAATCTTTAAGTTGGCTATCAAACAACTGGGGCTTGTTCCAAATCTGTTTAGATAGTTCACTTGGTTATTACGAATTCAACTTAAGATGTTTCTATCCTCACAATAGATTATTTTAGATGTAATGCCTTATTACTCTTCTTAACACACTTCTTACCAACCATGTTCTACAATTTTAATTGTACACCATCTATTTCGGGCTTCATAAAGAAGCGTACTTGGTTACACATTTTTATTGCTGATGGATGTTAATATCTACTTTAATGATTTTAAATTTTTTCCCCTCACTACCGTATACAGTAATTCACACGACAATCTCTTGCGCAATATTGAATGTCTGGAGAAATATGCTCTTATGTTTCCTGCTACTGTGTTATTCGTGAAGGATGTTCGTGATAAAAGTGAGCAGAATGAAATTTGTGAATGGAGCTATTACTGTCGGGGTCATCGTTTGAGAAGTATAGACTGTATAGCTATTCATTACTCATCAGAAAAGCGTCTTATAAAGGTAAACCATATGACTTATTTGTGAAATTTGGGGACTAATGGTGTGTATGGGACCCTATGCATCTTGAGTTCTCAGATTATGATTCAGGCAACTAATCCGCAAATTTTCTGTCATAAGTTTAAATCATTCTTGATATACAATACTTTGGATGGCCTAAGAATATCGTCAAAACTTACAGAGACAACTATTGGATGAACTTAAATTTATTTGTTTATGTAGTGCCTTGTATATATTCCTTAAGTTCGAATAAATTATGTATGAGATTATTTGCCAACAGGGCTCAAACTTTCCTTTTACTTGTAGTGGTTCGAACTAAAAATCATGATTTGGAAGTATTTTACATTGTTCATTTGTGGAGAGGATAAAGCAAACTTAACAAATGATTTTAGGTTGATTCTTTCCAACTTCCCATATTTATTGACTCTATTTTTGTTAAGTTTGCGTTTTGTGTATCTACACTCTTCGTCTTTCAGCGTTTCCCAACTTTTAATGATATATTCATTTTAAATGTTGAAACATTGGTTTGTTGTAGTGCACTTTCACTGCTGATAAGTACATACATATTGTGCTTAACAGATTTGCGATTTTGCGTGAAATTCCAACTAGCGCTCATGCTCTTTGGCTTCTACCCTTAAGGACCTAAACATTTCAACCCTTTTTCTTAGTCTCTCGCTAGTGTACGTATTTTAGTTAGTCTTCCAATGCACTTCAGTTTCTGTTTTACATGGGGCCATGATTCATTATCTTGATTGTGTGCTTACAGACCACCTACTTTGGTTTGGCCAACCGTTAACCTGTCATGTTTTTTTCTGCGCTTCACAAGCGCTAGTGATTTGGCACGAATCTTAACATAAAAATGTAGCGGCTTTAAAGGGTATAAAATGAACTAGTTGTTGAAATTCGCATATGTAGTTCATACTTGGCAAGACTTTCTCTAACGAATCAGAAATACCAAATTCTACAGACTTTAACACCTGTTTATTAAATAACCATTTCTTACTGCATATTTATTAGCTTTTCGTAATAACTAGTCTATCTTAAATATATTCACGTATAGTTTACTTTTATTCACACAGATGCTTTCGTTTTTATACATTATCCAGGTAGAATTCCCAGAATCACGTATTCATGAAGAAATGCTCTCACTACTTTCAGTCGCAAGTCGAAATTTAAGTGATGCGGAACTTCTGGAAATTGCCATGCGGAAAGCGAATTGTGTTTCAGGTTCAGCTAGTGGTGCGTTAGTCAGTTACTCTGTTTCCGGGACTACTGGCAACTCGCAACATGAAACAGAAGATCAAGATTTAGATCAATCCTCCACCAATACCACAACGACAGGAAGCCTTTTGAGCACTTCAATACCACCTGCACGACCAGCTACGGCAACTGGTCTTCTAGACAACCATGGGAATCCACTTAGTGCTGGGAGTTCTCGGGGTTCGTTCGGAGCATCAGTTCGCCTTGGGAGGCGCTAATATTTGCTCATTATCTACTCCTTTTGAATTGTAAAGCGCCAAAAAATGACTGCAGATGACAATCAACAATATATATCATTTTTATTTTATCGCTGTGTGCGAGAAAACCATTGGCTTACCTACCTACTTCATTACAACTTTGTTTACTGCGTTTATGTACACACTTCTAGGTAATCGAATAAACCGGAATTCCCGGTAAAGTGCAATACATGAATGAGAAATATTCAGTAACCAGTGCATAATTTATATGACAAAATACATCAGGAATCAAAATGTGATATTGTTTTTTCTTCTTATTTATGATTTGTTCAAAAACGAAACCCAAAGCTGGAAAACTTTCTTTCATTAAAGATAAATACATCAAATTGGGACACCTTATGTTATATTTTGTAGATGTTTTGCCTTCTTTATTCTGTTAAAGTTATACATCTATCCGATTTTCCTATAAATTACTCGAGTGAACTGTGCCAACACGTAAGGTGCAGGTTATACTTCAATGAAGTTACAATGTATTGAGCATTTTAGCAGAAAACTACAAGATCTTTACCCAACAAATGATAAATTGTAATTACCAAAAATAAAATTTTTTCTCAGAAAAACGCTTTTAAATATAAAGAAATATTTAATACGATCATAGACCAGTAAATGTGTGTAGAAAACAAGATATTTTCATCAAAAATATAACACAATTGTACGGCAAAAAGCCTTTAAAGGATATAGACAAGATGTAGAAACAACCAACACCAACCCCGCTAATATCGGCAGCTATTAAGACCACTATTAACTTCGGCTTCGAACAATCTGGCATCGGGAGTCATTGAAACGTTTGATACCTACGGGTGAACTCAAGGGATTGACTGGCGAGATTGTTATTCATGAACAACCTTTGAGCGACGCCCAAGTAACCTTTGCAAAATTACCAGGGTAAGAGAGGGTTATAAATGAGTGCAAAATCTGAATCGGGATCTAGAGTTGGGAGTAAGGATCAGGAATAGGGTTACGGTCGACATAACGAACTGACATTAGTCATGATGCCAAAATGCTATTCAGCCAAAAAATGTGGATAAGCTCATTCTGACTACTGCTCTCAGAACCACCATTGTTTGGTATAGCAGCTGCTAAAAAGCCATAGGATGTGTCTACTTAACCTTTCACAGAGAAACTAACTTCGTATCGGTACTAAAGGTAGCCGAAGGAGGGATATTTTGTTCTATAGTTTGCTAAGAAAAGATGAACTTTATCATCACAGCAATCTTATAACTTCTTTTTATTCCCAATGGTTCACTGATGGTAAATGATAGCACAGAGTTTTATCTTTATGGTAGATGTACTTTACAATTTAGTTCGAAGCAGATGTCACAATAGTCCTGATCAGCGTCTGATTGTGTATGTGACAATCTTATACGTTGTATTGTGGTAGACACTAACACAGATTATATCATTTCTAGGTGCTGTGGGACCACAGTGATCAGAACTGCTTCCAGAGCGTCATCGAGTGTAATGCTAAGGGAAGGATGATGATGGTGGACAAGAACACTAATCTAACTCCTGGTTTTCAGCAACGCGTTGGTGGTTTCATGCTTTTTACTGGATGTTTTGTATAATGCGTTGAGAACGACAAAACCCTTTTCTAAGATATGTTCACGGAACAGTTTTGTCTAGCAAACGGAGAGCACTTTGAGTTCACAGAAAATTTGGTTGCAATACTTCTTTGGGCTGTATCATCTAGTGGTTAACGAGGACGTTATTGAAGTAAGAAATAAACCCGACCTGGTATTTGAAAGCTAGCTTATATACACTTCCAACATTTTGTGGTGGCAGATTTAAACATAAAGCAATCGAGAACTTTTCAAATTGGATTTTGAAGGCAGATGGATACAAACAGTTAGTTAAAGCATTATTTAAACAGTGGAAACAATTACGAAAATTAAATAATGAGTTAAGGTAAAAACAATTACAGGAAAGAACGCTTTTATTAATTTACAAATTGATGTACGTTCACATGGTTTGTTCCATGTTAGATTCAGTTTTAGTCTCAGGCTGTGTGTAATGTCTGTATTCAGGTTTCAGCTCCCACATATTTTTGTGTGGAATGTGAGTGTTAAAGATAGCAATTTCTTTCAGTATCTCTGTAAGATAGGCCTGAAAATAAAAAAAAAGATATCATACACGTCAAAAACTGAAACGAAATATTTTAGTTTACAGAAAACTAACGAAACAAATTAATTAGTTACGTGAATGTTTCCAGATTAATATTTGCAACGTGAGAGTACATGAACGACAAGTCTAGGTTTCAAAACAAATTAAATACCTTGCATCTACTTCAACGGCGTTATGTTGTGGATTTAGTCTTACTTTATATTTCAATACGTCAATGAGATGTGGATCTAACGTTAATCTTGCTTGTTCCCTTGTGTACGTTGGGATTTACTGATGTAGAGGCTTATGCTACATTAGTTACTTTGACCTGCATTTGCTGTAATGTATGGAATATAAGGGCTAGGTCATCTGAGAAGTCCAAACCGTCTAGTTGCATGCAAGCTGTTGATTATATTCCGTGCTTACCCTCAGATGTGAAGGTCTTTATAATTCGGTCAACCACCAAAAGAAAGAGAATGATTTTAGCGATCTTCTTAGTTACACATGTGTCGAAGAAGGTTCCATAAGTTTCTCCTATCCATACTGTCAAACTCCTTCTCACAGTCAAGGAAGTTGATGTACGGTGATGAGTTCTGTTTAACTGGTTGTTCAACGATGATTTCTGGTGTTGCGATTTGATCTGTGCACGACCGACTCTTACGGAATCCGGCCTGCTGATCTCGAAGCTGGATGTCTACTGAATTCTTCAGTCGATCCATCGACACATTGTTAGAAACGTTTCTTGGTACAGATAGTAGTGTGATGCCTCTGTAGTTTTCACATTTGCTTAGATTTTCTTCCTTTGGAATCTTGATGAGATATTCTTTTTTCTAGTCTGTTAGCATTTTTTCCTCCTCGCAATTATTATTATTAGTGGCTTTATTCAATATTATATTTTTGGTACAATATAGAATTCTCAGCACAAAGTATTTCAATAAGTTTTCTTTCCTTATTTCTTGACCGATCCTCGCGATAAATATTGAGTGGTCGTCAGTTAGATGCTAGCAGGAATCGACATCTGAATAATGTATATTCTTTTCGAAACATATTGCCAGCAACCACGATGTCTCTGATTAGGCTCTTTCGTAAGTTGTACAGCGAAATATAGTAAACTTTTCACAAACACACCTGATTAGGTTATGAGACTAATGGGCATAATGATGCGTTAAAACAAACAAGAAAACAGATAACTTGTTGAAATATCCAGATGGCAGGGACAGGTAGGCCGAGATATTCAAATAGACCGCCTGATATATCCGACTTCACTGCTTCAGCTAGTATATTGTCAGGTCCTGCTGCTTTCTTTGATCGTTGTTAGAGTGACAGCTATAGGAAGGTTTATATGTAATGCTTCGATGTCCGGTGGGTTCAGCGGGGCTGGACTATTCAAGAGTTCTTCAAAGTGGTCTACCCACTGTTCCTCTATTCTTGAATCTCAGTGATTGGTTTGCCTTCTTTGTCCTTGACTAGTTGCTCTGGTTAACTATATTTCCCTGCTCGTTTCTTCGTTTTGTCATATGGTTGTCTCATATTCTCTTCTTTAGCAGCTTCTTTCACTGTCGCTACCAGGTCTTCTGCGTATTTCTGTTTGTCAGCTCTAATCCTTCTCTTTACTTGCTTGTTTGCTTTGGTGTATCCAGATTATACTTTGACTTTCTCGGTTGTTAATTGCCGTCTTTTTGTTCTTCCTTTCTTGAATCCTGCCATGGTTATCGGCAGAAATTCATTTTTATGATGGTGCTTTTACTTGTAAATGCAAGATAAACAAAAGAAGGTTAAGGGTAAAAACACATCGGTGATTATATGTACAATAAATTGACAGAATTAATCTAACATCTAAAAATAATGGATATAATAAAAGAACAGTCTTAACCAATCATTACTGAGGATTTTGACTAGTTATAAGCAAAAGACAATGAGACATATGCGACCAATCATCGGACGTGATACATGTTAGTAGATTTTACGGTATCAGCGTATTTTGAATTTGATCAGGATTATGAATAAAGCTAACTGAAACTAACAAAGATATAGAAAGTAAATCATGTAGATGCTTACCAATGGTTGCTTAGTAAGTACAACCAAATCTTTAATAGAGTAATATTGGTGTCTTTCGAAAGCTTTGAACAAATCCTGCAAAACGTCTTCTTTTTCACGTCTAAGATTTTTACCCTCGACCTTTTTCCGATTTTCATACTCGATCTAGAAAACAAATATTTAGTGATTTTAATGCAAAGCAGTCAGCGGAAACTTAGCAGCGATTAAAATACATTAATGTACAAATGCAAACAAATTTGTTGATATTATAAACGGCGGTTAATAGTGTAAAGTTTCCAGTGAGATTTCAAGTGGACAAATGTATAGAGTATAAGGTCAGAAACCTATAACAGAGTAAACAAGTTTAAAAAGACTATCTCTTTGATTAATCAGGGTAAAAGTGGATCTATCACATAAAACAAGTCGTTATCTATGGCCTATCAACTTATTACTTAACATAGTGAGGTGAGTTATTAACCAGTCATACTGTGGTGCGTGCTACTTATATTGATATAGGTAGTATACAACGTGAGTCAAGAATACAATGTCTGGCAGCAGAAGATGGAGAAGATCAAGAAAGGAAGGACAGGAATAGGAAGCAATTAGTATGTAAATGCAAGAACAATGAAGTCCGAGACAATTGTTGAACATTTTGCAAATTAAGTATTATAGTATGGTGTTTCTATTTTACCAAGTAATTGTGTAATTGTGTGCTTAACATAATTCGGTTGTCCTCACCCGTGTTCACCTTCAATACAGTACCAGCAACAGTCATTAGCATTTAATTCAAGTCACAACTCCGACAAATCAGTCTTGTTTCTAATCGTCACATAAACTGAAGTGGACATATTTCACGAGCTATGCATAAGTCTCAAGTTGAAATTGGAAGCGCCATAGTACAAACCAAGTAGCGGATGGGATTTAAACATGAAACCAACAAATTTGTGAGTTATTATGGATGCCAGTGAGAAATTAAGTCAGCGGTTATGAATCTGAAAATTTTGCTGTGTCAGTTAAATTACACTTCCTGTTTACGAGAATAATGGGAGGAAAACGTAACACTGATATCGCAAAACTACCGTTGTTAAATCTATGTTAGGTTGGGATAATATTCGAGTTCAAGATATATATTGTTACTATGCCATAATAATACTTTGTTTCAACAATGAATAGTAAGTTGCAAAGAAAATGGACGGCAACATGAATGAAATAAAGAAAATATACTTACATTGTTGACATGATTGGAAACTGGTTTGTAGTTTCTTACTGGTTCATAAAGGAGACAGACTTCATGTCGCGGCCGATTCTTTGCTTTGAGCTTGAGGAAATAAAAAAAAGTATAAAACTAGGACAAGAGTGAGGTTTGGGTATTTCTAGAACTAGGATGGGTACAAAATAGGACATTCAAGACTAGGAAATATTCTATGAACCTACATAAGCTTCTAGATAAAATCAAAGATTTTTACCTGTTGAGCTTTGAGCATCATATATCTTGTATTGGGTGGCGGTCTGCATTCAGCTCTACTATTAACACGACCAAACAAAGATAGTCGCCGAGAGTAACGGGAGTACGGTTTATTTGAGAATGGAGAATGTGGGGCTGCAGAGGAAATTAAAGTTGTGTTGGTCGTCGAAGACGGAAACGAGTTGGTTTGAGCACATCCAAGGTCGTCTTCACATAAAATTATGAGTTCTTGTCCAGATATAGTCCCAGGACGCCTTTGAGCTGTCGAACTTGGAGTAGTTTGACCTGGGCGAGCAGTCCCAGGTGTACTATTTGATGATGCAGAAGTTTGAATCAGAAACTGATGTTCCTGAAAGTATACATAAAACTTCATTCACTAATCAAACATAGATTTACTTGATTGGTGTAAGTAATAGTTACAATGTGATGATGTCGAGATCAAATAAAGTGAATACAAAAGTATGTAAACGCATCACCCAGATAAAATGTGGAGACTTACACGTAAAAGGTCAGGAGTTTGGTTAAAGATGCTTTTCTCAATATTACCAACCATATAATTCATATTCAGTACTTCTTATAGAGACAAGATATTATCGAAATTTACCAATTATGATAACAATATTCCCAGTAAGGTCAAACATTTTTTCTAGCTAGGAGATTTCTGTGATGATATAGATAACTAGAAACCCCTAAAATCAGGGAAATCTAAAGTTGCTGAAACCGATTAACGTGTTGCTTCATTTACAAACTAGGTGGCCTATGGATTCAATATTAATTACTTATTAATAAGAACCCGCGAGTGAAAATAGTCCGTCTACTTGCTTTTAAAAAATCAGTTTTGCACAAAATAATTCTGGTGTGAAACTGTTTCCCACTGTTGAAAACTATAGGTGAAGTTAGGTATGGTCCCCCGTCAACTTTGGCATGAATTGGGTTTTGAAGGTAGATTAGCTTGTTCTAGTGTTACGAACTGTTTCTAGAAGAGACTTTTCGACCCTAAATAAGAGGTTATTATCCTTATAATATGATACCAGAAATTTACGTACGATCAACATAAAACAAGATTCATAGAAATGGGAGTGATTTATACTAAAAAAACAACTGATATAAGTGATTTTTCTACTGAAAATTGGGAGGCACAAAAAGTTGCTGCATGTAGAGCACGGGGCACAGTTGTAGTCACAAGTGCTCCTGAATGAATCGAAGAAACAACTATTTAAGTGGAGAGAACTAGTTCAATTGCCTTAAGTAAAACAATATTGGCTTGGTATTTGAAAAAAAGACCAGTCACTCAATCATCAAAACAGGACAGAATATTTATTCAGATAAAGCCTGAGATTGCTAAGAACATAAGCACATCTGTTAAAGAAACCTGTAATACTGATCACTATACAGAAAGGTTTTGTAGTAACTCAGATACTTTTCATTCAGTTAAGATCATGGATTAATACACTGCAAAGTTTTTGGTGGTAAGGGCTTGGAGTGACCCAAGCAACCGAAAAAGAGAAACAAAGGGGATATTCAGCAGGAAAATAAGCGATAAAAAGCGCTAGAGTTTTATTTTTCGACTCGTGTATGAAAATAGTACGACATCCTCTCTTTCGTTGCTGTATATTTTTATTACCGCCAATTATCTACTTTTCATTGAAATTTACGTCGAATTCCCTCCTTATCAAATCCGTTCAGGTAGAGTTCACGCACAATTCTATGTTTGTAGCCCAAAATGTCTAATGTGGTCCCCTTAATTTCCATTTCGAAAAAACGTCTAGACATAGTCAGGCATAAGTGAATTAACCTCGAGCTGTGTTGAAAGTGCTCCATCAAACTTGCAGCGTAAATATCGTACATTAGACTTCATTTCAGTATGGAAGGCGACAGAATTTCCACTGTTCCTTCTCTATTTTGGCTCCATAATTCTCAAAGTTCTTCTACCACTACCGTCTTAATTAAATTTTAGACATTCATCATCAACGATATATGTTAGTGCATCATGGCAACGGATTCATTTAAAAATGAGTTAATGAAATCTCTCACATAATATGAAGAGTGTTGCGGACCGAAACCCTTAGTTTATAATGCTCATTCGTTAGAGCATCTTCCTGATGACGTTCGTTAGCATGGAACTTGGGATTCGTTATATGAGGTAGATTACGAAATCGATGCATAGTGTTTACGCTATAGCAATCCAAGCAGCTCAGCGTTGTGAAGAAAATATATCTTTCTTTGGCAGACATCGAGCTAGCGTGTCGGGAGCTAATATGGTCAGTCAGTCAGTCAGAAACAACGTGGAACTCCGTACGTACGTACATCAGTTCGAGTTGCCATACCACATTAGTACAGAGATTCAGTTATCAATTCAAATCCCGTAGTGGTAGAGGTAGTGAAAGTATAAGCAGTAATAGGGAACATTAGGGTTTGATGATGTTATTTAAGGAGCATAATCAAGTGGAATAGATTTTGAAAGAAAATAAAGGAATTCACAAGATTATAGTTTGAGAGAACACAGAGAGTGGATGCACCTGCGCCACTGCAAACGATTTTGAGCCATGTCATTCATGATCTCTAACCATCGATTGCTATCGTCTCGCGGTCCCCAACCAGGTAGTCTACATCTACCAACATGACTCAGTCCACTTGTCAGTGACTTCATGGATTTGTGCCATGTTTTGGTCTGGCCGCCCCTAGCTTTCTTCCAACCCACTCCTACACCATAAAACATCGCACGTCGGGGCAGTCGGTGGTCGGGCATACGTAACACATATCCCAGCCATCTTAACTGAAGTTTCACTACTTCAATTGATTTGCCATCCTTACCTAGTACCCGTTTCCTAACAACTGAGTTAATTACTCGGTGGTCCCAGGATATACGAGCGATGTTTCGAAGACATCTATGATCGAATACTAGTAACCTACGAATATCCTCTACTCTCACCGGCCATGTTTCACTGCCATAAAGTAGGACGGAACGAACTGCTGCGCAGTAAACACGTCCTTCGGTTGATAGACGGATATCTCGCCTACGCCACAAAGGACGCAAGTTGGAAAAAGCTAGTCGAGCCTTCTGTATCCGTGCTGAAATTTCGTCACACTTCAGACCACAAAGGCTGATGGGACTTCCAAGATAAGTGAAGCGGTCGACACGCTCAACAACTTCACTCCCTATCACTAGTTCGGGTGCCAATGCAACCCAATCCTGAAGCAACATTTTGCATTTCGAGGGAAAGAATCGCATGCCGAACATGCCTGCATTGTTGCTTAGAGTGATCAGCAGACTCTGCATTTTGTCAGCGTCTTCACTAAATAGAACTATGTCATCGGCATACTCTAAGTCAACAAGTGAATCTCCCGGTAAAAGTTCAACTCCTGGAAATTTAGATGAGGAAATTGTCATATCTAAAAGGACGTCAACGGCAAAGTTCAACAAGAATGGAGAGAGTGGACAGCCCTGACGAACACCACTTGAGGTAATCAATTCTGATGACAGTTCACCATAAGCTCTCACTCGACCAGTTGTGTTCGTGTAGAGAGCCTTTATAAGGTTGATGTACTTCTTTGGTACTCCCTTCAGTGACAAACACTGCCATAGAACCTCACGATCAACAGAGTCAAATGCAGACTTAAGGTCGAGAAATACTACTATTGTGGGGCATCTGAATGTGTGTCTATGTTCTAGGACCTGACGTAGTGTGAATATTCGGCCTATACAACCACGTCCAGGTCGAAAACCAGCCTGGTTTTCTCTAGTCTGCTCTTCACGAGCTTTGGTTAGGCGTCGAAGTATTATTGAAGCTAATATTTTAGACACTATATTAGTCAAACTAATTCCTCTGTGATTGTCACAAGAAGAATTTTGTCCTTTCTTATAGACTGGCACAATCAGTGATTGAAACCAGTCAGATGGGATTACGTCCAGTTCCCAGATTCTACCTAAGACCTCAGTCAATCTCACTGCTAATACTGGATCACCATCCTTAAAAATCTCAGGGGTAAGCCTGTCAGGGCCTGCTGCTCTCCCACGCTTTAGATTACCTATAACCTTTTTCAACTTCGTAAAGAGTCGGAGGACTTACATTAACTTGCCATTCAGGTAGATTGGAGATCGTGGGAAACCGAAGTGTGGCTGAAGGCCAGTTGAACTGATCCCTCAAGTGTTCTGCCCATCGATCCAATCTCCTGGGTTGAGAATGAATAATATGTCCATCTTTTTCGGAGATTGTTTCGCTAACAGTCGGGTTCCTAATACCGGTTTCCTTAACAAGTCTGAACAGTTGCCTGCTGTTACCTATTGCTCCTACCTTTTCCATCTCTCTTGCTTTCGCTACCCACCACTGTTCACGATCATTGCGTAGGCTTCTAGTCAGCTTACGCTTAAGCTGACTCCGCTCTTCGTTATGTTTAGAGCCAGATGGAATGAGTTCTCGAGCATCTATCAGTGCGGTAAACGCTGCTGAGATCCAGTGTTTCTCCCTAACCTTATGGTTTACCGTACTTGCAGACATCACTGCTGTTTCTACAGCTTTTCGGATGTCATTCCACGCTGCCTCGGGGTGGGCATCACTTACATGGCTGCCTAACTGTTTTTCTAGATGACCCTGAAATTTACTCTTAGCTTGACTATCATTAAGTAAGACCCTAAGGGGTTTCCTTGCACCATCTTTCCTACGTCCAGTAGGACGTAGACAAATACGCGCTCGCACTAGAGCATGATCTGAGTCTAAGCATGTGCTCCAGAATGAGCGACAGTCTTCTATCGGGCCCCTACATCGGTGGCTGATAGCGATGTGATCTATTTGGGTCCAGCGTTGGGACGAATTAGGCGGTCTCCATGTTAAAAGATGTTTTTCCTTATGCTTAAAGTTAGTGTTTGCAAGAAACAGGCGGTTATCTGAGCATAGCTGCAACAGACGGTCGCCATTATCTGTTCTTTGAGCCGCGACACCATAAGATCCACCCAGGTGTCTTTCCTTTTCGCTTAGTTTACCTACTTGAGCATTAAAGTCACCAGCCACTATTACTACATCTGAACGCCTAGCTTTTCGGAGAAGGTCGGAAAGCTTTCTGTAAAACTCATCTTTTACATCATCTGAGCCGCAGTCAATGGGAGAGTAGGCAGACAGGACGAGTGTCCCTATCTTTCCCAGTCCGTACTGTCCCGTTTGGTCGGACAGCGCGCAAACGTCTGTCTACTTGGATCCAGTCTAAGAGAGGTAGTTCTGCCCTAGGACTCAATGCTATACCTACGCCAGCGAGGCCACGGGAAGCAGCATCAGGGCTTCCAGATACACGAAGCGTAAATCCAGTTGGTCCGTTACTTTGACATGGTGAAGTCACATGAATGACACTACTCGAATCCTGTGTGCCCGTTTCGGAGACGCAGCACTCATCGATGGAGCGAGATTCTAAAGTCCTAACTAAGGAATCCTGTTGTCCTATTTGGTACAGTGTTCGGACGTTGAAAGCTTCTATGTGTAGTTTAGAGCGTGTTTTCAGGAGACCAGGAATAACGTTCCGCGTACTCAAATCGTTTGCACTAGCAGGGCGAGGTGATAAAGGGACCTGAGAAGGGTTAGTCGTGGAGATAAGAGAGTTGTTAGGAGGTGTAGGAAGGGTTTGAATGTGACCAACTTGGTTTCGTGTGCTGTTACGGGTATGAGGGCTGATGTCACTTCCCGGTTGCCCACACCGTGGAAGGGTATTTTTGAGGAATCTGAAAAGGAAATCGGATCAGTGTTGGTCTTAACGACCTGAGAGCGTGACTGCAGTGCCCAAGGGACAACTGCTTGAGGCCGGTCGCGCACGGCCTTTTTGTGGGAGGTTTTTATTGTGTTAGTTCCGTTCTTCAAAGGGCCTTACCACGGAGACGGAAATCCGTGGGGTAAGGTGAGGTGTGACATTTTTAGGGTCAACCTTTTCTAACCCATTCCTTCCTCGTAAGAAGGCGGCATCACTGCAGATGCTGGTTGTCCGAGGGAAACACCTTACTGCTGTCACACCTCTCTACAGTCAGCAGTACGACTTTGCCCTCAGACCTTGAGTTGCTGCTTTTAGTCTTACCATTCTCCAGTCGACCTGCCTGGCATGGTAGAACCTGCAGGAACATGTGTTCCAGCCAATATAGCTCGGTTGGGTCATCACGATAGGCAAGCCCGACCACCACGTCAAGGTTGCAGCTACGGTCAGGGGAGCTAATATGGACACGTCCATCAAGCACGACCACAAGAAATGAATAGTTATGCTCAAGAACACTAAAGCCGAATTACGTAATAACAGCACACAATAAACCTGGGCTAATCATTGACATTGGGGAAAATAGACTAATTAATTTTAGAACTCACTGACCTATGAGATTACTTTACGGAAGCATTCTCTTCTAGTAGCATAGATATATTTATGTGCTCGGGAGTTAGTCATGAGCACATACGGGTTTTCACTAACGATGTATACTGTAAGTGCAATAATAAGTGTAGTAATCGTTCTGTCGTTACATACATTCGTGTGAATATGTTTCTGTATTTCTTGTTGATGTCACCATTCCGAATAAATTCCTAACTATTATATACTGTTAAGCGTACTACTAGTCCGTTCGTACTCATCAGTGCGTCAAGCATGAAGGTTTCAATCTCAGCAACGGGAAAAGAACTTCGTTTGTATCCTAAAAATTTTATGGATATTCCCCTGGATAAGCGCTCAACCAAATGACAACTGGCCAATCACCAAGTGCAAGGTTATTCACTGCTATAGTGAGTTACATATACAGAGGCATTCGTTTCCTAAAAAAAAGCAAACTGTGAAGGACATGTGTTTCATTCAGTGAACTGGCCGGCTACCGTGTCAATATTTTGACGGACGAAAACACCTAGACATTAAACGTAGAGAAACCTAAGAGGTTATTAGTAATCGTACTAATTTTTCGTGGAGGAATTGAAACGGAAACAAGGGTTTTTGTATAATTCCGTTGAAATGGACATGTCTGGCATGCAGGCTGAAAAGAGCCACGTTAGAAATATAGTTTAGGTTACTGGACACTTCAGTGCCACCAATCGCAAAGTAAGGGTGTTTTATTTATAATGTCAATAAACAAGTTCTTAACAATTAGAAACGTCGTCCTCAACGTCCATGTCAAAGCGTGTTGGCAGTGGGTTAGCGGCTGAGTATGTCACATTTGAAACACTGCATGGTGTTCTGCAAAACATATTATCAGCAATATCAGACTAGTGTGGAAGCATTATGCAGTTAGTGTTTAAGCCTGATGGGCGTGATTATCCATGAAACTTGACATTGGACTGTCAAGTGTGCAGTTCCGTTCATCTGAAGAGAAACTGCGGACGTTAGATGCATCTCTTTAACAAGGACATACGAAAAACAAATTTCAAAGGCTATCAAGTTCATCGGATTATCACTTTACATTCCAGATGTGCATGGAGACGCAACTAGTGGATGATACTAATAAAGCTCCCATACGCTATGTGTTGGACTGTCATAAAACTTGACGTTGCCAGCCCCTTCACACTATTTGGCATTTAAGAAGTGCAGGTTCACGTATTAAAAGTGCTTTACCATTCATAATCATCAGGTGCACTGACATCGCGACGCAAGGGGACTTTCACTACATGAGATAAACTACAAAAGCGTCGTTGGACGAAAACACAAAAACGTAAGTACTAATTTAAAATGATAACCTTTTACCGCTGTTTTAAACGTGTTTTATAATAGAAATAAAGGCGACCACAGAAGACATTTGGAGATACAAGCATAGAAATGTGGGTGAACGGTTTCTGTTTGGACGAAAATAAGATGATTTGGCGTAAGTTTAGACGTATATACGATATTTGAAGTACATTGTACGGTATCAAAGAACAAAGGGATCATGATTAAAGCTTCAAGGACTATTTTGAACGGATTTTTAGTAGTACAATGAAGAGATAGTGAATTACACACCAACTTTCAATTTTAACGTGTGGTTTTGTACAAAACATACTACCTACTTTTGGTATCAGATTTCCGGACTCTCCGACTTGATTTAATAGTTCTGAATCCGTAACAAGAGTGACTTGTGACCCTGGGCCTTTGTTGCCATTTTGAGATGCACTAGTTGAACTTGCGATCACAACTTTCCCAACTACACCATCAGGGCCAGCATTATGCCAAAGTTCAGCTAAATACTTTGGAACTTTGACTAACCACACTCCGTCTTTGGCTCTGCTTGTGTCAACTACATGCAAAGCATGTGCATCACAAAATATATCCGACACACTCTTCGGTTTAACATTGGACATAATGACCTCGAAGACGTACTACCCGCCACAAAATGCGACAATACAGTACTCAGTCTCTGGGGATGGTTGAATTCATAGTTTACATCACTAACTGATCGTTCTTAAAATACCACCGAAACCCAGAAAGCCTTGGACAGTTGTCTTCTTTCATAATGGAACTATTCTGTTATGTGCAATCACAACCAGCAGGGTTGAACATACAACTGCCACATCCAAATAGCAACATTATGTGGAAGAAGGAGAATACTGTTTGTTCATTGGTATCTATATCTGGGAAGCAGGAGAGTTGTTTAAATAATCCAAAGTTATGGTTCTCATGTTTCTTCTGAGCCTGAAGGATAAAACTGGTTAGTTACGAATGGTGGAAGTGAGAGTGGAGCACCACATACTGCTATCACCCTGATACATATAAAATTTTAGTAGGAGCCAAGTCTTATTTCGAGAAAGTCAATAGAAGGTTTTGTCACTGTCACATATGATAATGAGTTCGACAGTTTGACGGTTTTGACCACAAAAAATTTGCACAGGTTTTTTGAGAACTTATAATTTTCTACCCTAAATGGATGTCCACTTAAGTGGAATTTGGTACATAAACGAACACTTTGCAAGGGTAGAAATATACCTCTTAATGTAAGAGCACACAATGAAGGAGATTTTTTCGTAACGACGTATTAGGTAAATACCAAAGCAATAATATATTGTTCTGCAGTCAGGTTATTGAATTTTATGAGGATATATATGAGCCCGTAACCCACCAGTGATGGCGAAAAGTATTCAATGACCATGAGGAGATATGAAATCTAAGCTTGTGAACTAATGGAGACCGGCTTGACAGTCCAAAGTTTGAACAGTCCCTTCTAAACGTGAAGGTCTTGCATTTAGTCACGACTGGGTCATAGGTTCCCAAAATATGGAGTCCCATGTTGTAGAGAAGCGGTTGTTCAATGTTTTCTGATGGTGAAACGTTTAACTAAGATCAGTCAGTGGTACTAACTGAAGATCACTCAATATATTACAGGCGCCAATAGAGTTTATCCATTGACGTAGTTGAAATTTGTATGGCCTTATTAAATTCGTTATGTTCAACCTCCACAACATCAATATGGCTGAACGGTATTGAAATGCTAGCAGAGTCAGAGTAAATATATAACAGAAGTACACCGAAGTTAATACCGACTTAATTTAGCTCATCTACTGGTGATCTTACTTTTCTATCTAGTTATAAACTATTTATTTTGGGTTTGCAGTTAATTATTGTTTCTTAATAAATAGGTATACATTGTCTATTTGTGTTCTTCGACTTGTCTCAACAACCGTAGTGGCCATCGCAGTAAATTTTTCAACCAACTTAATCGTCAGATAGAATAAGCAATAGGTGAGTGGTACCGTCCAACTAAATCATTTAGAAGAACATAACTCATGGGTATCTCCGTTCTGATAAAAATAACCCGAACGCAATCAGCTCATAGTCAGTTTTATTGTGACTTATACCTTTCAACTACACTTTTATTTTCAATTTACAAGAAAAAGCTTGAATATGATTGTATGCAGCTGGTATCAGGGTCGTAAGTACTTTTTGACGTTGTGATGCATAATTTTTTATATTACTTACCTCATTTACTCATGTACACTCTAACCAGAAGACGATGAACTTCAGATTATTGCATCAAGTGATTTGTGTTGATAAGGAATAGTAGAAAAACGACAATTGTTCAATTAAACTGTGGCGGTAAATAATTCCCCGAAATCAAATAACTCTGTAAGTTTTCGACATTGAATGCTGACCAAAGTTTTAGTGGACTCATCTAGATGAAGGCGCTCGGTCAAGCATCCGCACCAGATCACGTGTGGGAACGCCGTGCTCAACATCTGCCGCAATCGCTAGCCAGATTAGTGCAAACGATCCTCGATATATTGATAACTTATCAAATATATCTTCGAACCTCCTCACTTCTGTCTTTTGATTCTACTTGGTGGGTGCGCTTCGTATTAGAAGGTGTTACTGGTTAAAGCGTTGTCAAACTCCGAATACCTGTGGCATCTTCATTGGTGAGCCCGACGTGATCTAGTACACCATATTGTAAGCTGTGAGTCTGTTCCTTTTTGTGATTTTATATATCATTGTCTTATTTTAATTTCTTTTTTTTTACATTGTGATATTTTTTTCAAGTGTTATTGGGTTTATATATATATTTCCCACTCGTTCACTTTTCGTACTTGATATATTACTATGACTGAACAGACCCCTAAAGTATTTAAGTTAAAGACTGTGTCCCCACCTTCGTTCCGACTTATGCCTATCTGGCCAGACAACATCGAAGCCTGATTTTGTTACGCAGAAGCCAACTTCTTCGAGAACGGTGTGAACGATACACGCACACAATTCCTCGCAGTAGTCAAGGCACTACCGCGCGAATTCAACAGGTACGTAACACCTAGTATGTTTACTGGTGATGTTTCTGATCCATACCAAACCCTGAAACATGCTATCCTTAAACGCGGAGATCTAACCGATTGACAAAGGTTAGACCAACTCCTCAACAACATCGACCTGCAACACGGTTCTGCCACAGACATGTTGCAAAGAATGCGAGAAGTCATTGGCCAAAGAACCTTCGATGACGGCCTATTCAAACAACTTTTCTTATCCAAACTTCCTCAACAGGTGCAAGCTGTCTTGGTCTCGTTCCAAAACAACGCCGTAGACGAGCTAGCTGCATCTGCCGACCGCATTCTCAAAATCACTAGATCTTCTGACGCCGAGGTTTTTTCAGTCAAAGAAAAGCCTCAAACGACCCAGAATGACATAACACAGTTATGTCATACACTTACGCGTTATCTCAAACTCTGTAACGACCGTAAACGATCACTTACTCCGCGGAGAAGCACATCACGTAGGCGATCCGTATCTAGAACTCGAGAGACAGATAATCCTGATTGGTGCTGGTACCATAACCAGTACGGAAATTCCGCCAGAAATTGCAGAAAACCCTGCAATTTTCGCAACGCGAAATCGGTCGACGCGATGAACGTTTCGGGAAACTTCCATTCCGCACGCGTTAACGGCGACCGTAGCCGGCGAACATAGCCGTCTTTTATATGTCACTGATGTGATAACGAGAATTCGCTACCTCGTAGATACTGGCGCAAAGGTTAGCGTTCTCCCAGCGAACTCCAACGACAGGCTTCACGAGTCGGTTTTAAATTTACAGGCGGCAAACGGAAAGCCTATCGCTACGTATGGCAAAAGGTATGTTTATCTTAACGTGGTTTTACGCAAATTCATTCACTGGATCTTTGTTTGTGCAGATGTTTCTATGCCAATCATTGGAATGGACCTTCTACAACTAAAAGCTTCACTATCAGCCTCAAACATTTCTCAGTGAACTGACGCTCTTCCACTCGTCTTACTAGGCATACGCAATGCAGTGATGTCTGATATTGGATACACTGCATCTCAACTCGTTTATGGTACGACCCTTCGACTTCCAGGAGAATTCGTGGATCCTTCATCCTCTTCAATGAACATGGATCTAACCTCCTACACGAACAGGCTTACAAATGAAATGCGTTCAGTTAAACCTGTTTCCACTCGACCACAATCAACTGATGTTTTCGTTCAACCTGACTTATGATATAGTACACACATTTTTGTGCGTCGAGACTCACATCGACGACCTTTCAAGCCAGCATACGAAGGACCTTTCAAAGTTCTTCGACGCGAACCCAAGTACTATATAATCGATAAGGACGGAACCAACGATAGCATCAGCATCGATCGCCTCAAAGCAGCGTACTTAGAAGGATCTTGATTTGTTTGATGTTCAATCATATTTCTCCCGCCGTGGGTGGACTGACATCTATAGGAAGATTTATGTGTGCTGCTTTGATGTCCGTTGGATTCATTGTAGCCGGCCTATTCAATAGTTCCTCGAAGTACTCTGCTTATCTGTTCGTCTGTTGTTGAATTTCAGTGATTGGCCTGCCTTCTTTGACTTTGACTGGTCTCTGTGGTTTACTATATTTTCCTGCTAGTTTCTTCGTTGTATCGTAAAGCTGTCTCATATTTCCTTCTTATGGAGCTTTTTCCGCCGTCGTTGCTAGTTCTTCCACGTATTTCTGCTTGTCGGCGCTGATGCTTCTCTTCACTTGCTTGTTTGCTTCTATGTACTCAGCTTGTGTTTGGACTTTCTCTGCTCGTGTTCTGTTGTTGTTAATTGCTGTCTTCTTGTTCTTCCTTTCTTTGATCCTGTCCAGTGTTTCTATAGAGATCCATTCCTTGTGATGATGCTTCTTGAGGCCCAGAACCTCTTGACACGTTGAAGTTAATGCTTCATTTATACCTTCCTAGTTGTCCTCTATAGTAGTTTCTTCTTCCTTCAGTAGATCCCGTAAGGCTTGGAACCTGTTGTTAAGAGCTATCTTGTATTCATTGAGTTTGTTAGTATCTCGATGGAAGGCTGTATTGAACCTTTGTAGTGCTGTTTGTCCAGTTGTCCAGTTCTTCTTTAGCTTCAGTTTTAAATTGGCCACAACCAGGTGGTGATTGGACGCTATGTCCGCTCCTCCTCTGGTTCTTACATCTTCCATTGTCCTTCGGAACTTTTTATTGATGCAAATATGATCTATCTGGTTCTCCGTGGTTTGATCCTGCGAGACCCATGTAACTTTGTGTATGCGTTTGTGTGGGAATATTGTGTCACACATAACCAATTTGTTGGATGCACATAAATTTGCAAATCTCTCCCCGTTTTCCTTCCTCCCAGTCCATGTCGTCCCATGGTATTTTCATATCCGGTGTTGTCTATTCCAACTTTGGCGTTTAGATCTCCCATCAGAACGGTGATGTCCTTTCTTGGGCACTTCTCTATGATTGATTGCAGCCTCTCACAGAATTGATGTTTAATGTCATCGTTGCTACCATTGGTGGGTGCATAACATTGGATACTATTCATTGTGATCCCCTCCTTCTTTGTTTCGAATGGTGCTTTGATGATTCTGGATCCGTGAGATTCCCATCCTACAAGT